TTTTGTCTGTTTTTCTGAGAAATCAGACAGATTTTTTTCCACTAGTCTGATTTTCCAGAAGTGTTTTTTTATGCCATCTGATTGATCAGAAATGGTTTTTGGTTTCCATCTGTTCTATCAGACAAGTGTTCCCTGTTTCGTCTGAAACCGAAACATAGCATATCGTGATTTCCAGCGGTGGGAAGGGAATCCCCGCCGTGACAGTGCCTGAATCTATGTTGTGACAAGTTGACTGAGTCAACTTGACTCCTCATTGTGTCAGGGCGAATCCCTGTGAATCCCTCTTGTGATAGGGCGGGCGAATGAGGTGTGACGGGGCGAATGTGGTGTGAGGTGACGGGGCGAATGTGGTGTAATGTGGTGTGACGGGGCCCAATGTGGTCTGATGGAGCGAATGTCAACAGGGCGAGTGTTGTGTGCCCTTCGAATGAATTTGACAGGTCAGTTCGACTCAGGTTTTTTCCCACGTGCACCAGCACACTAGTTAGGGTGTGTAAGATCCCCGTGCACACGTTTTGGCTGAATTTTGTCGACCATTTTGGTCGACAAAGCTTTCGCGAAGGTCGACAGATTAGTCGTCACCAGGTCGACAAATTTTCGGCCAACTCAGTGTGGCCTCCAAATCTGACACGGTTTTGCTGGCCGCTGTAACAGAGGTGGAAGATTTTGGTTTGTCCTTTTTTACGACTTGGTGCGACGATGTCGCACACATGAATACGATGTCGCAATTTCACTGTAGCAGCGTATGCGACTTCGTTTCTCACTGTAGACAGCTGCTGTCGACAGCATGGCCGATTTGAAGTCGACCACGCGTCGGAAAAGAGTCGACTAGTTTTCCGGCCATCAAATCACAAATTTGATGGTTGAAATTGACGAGATTCGCAAACCGATCACGAAATGGTTACTTTCGCTACGGCCACCTAATTTTGATGGCCGATTCTGTGTGCACGGGGATCTTATACGCCCTTACTTTGTATTTATTGGTCAGGCAAGGTAAAAAAAAAAAAATCTGATTCGTCAGACACTCAAAAGTAAAATTTCTGACGCAGGGCCCGTCTGATGCATCAGGGGGGTTCAAAACCTAGCGAGGACCCTGTCGTAAAACCAACCGTGCTCTTCGGTAACTGCCACGCACTACGGTAGCAGTTTGAAACTTTTCCCGCGCTTTGCACTTCAATTTATTCCCGCTTGCAACTGTCTTCGATAACTGTTTGTGTCGTTCGATCTTCGTCCTCGCTGCAATCACCTTCGCTTCAAGAGTGCGTTACTCTAGGAATGTTATTCAACAATTTCATATCGTAACAGTTTTTTCAGGAGGAAGGTGTACAGACCATACCGTCATCGCCCGGATATAAGACATATATGTCTTATCTCGTACACGGGAAAAAATTCTTGGGTTATCTTGTATTTGGGATGGTTTTGTCAGAATGTGATGGTTGTCTAGCCTGCAGTGGGGTACTCTATAGCGAGTACAGCCCTTCTAGGGTTTGCATATATGTATCCCTATGCTTGTTAGTCAAAACCCTTCTTGCCTGTTTCTCGTTTTGGCCTAGCATTTTGACATGCTATCAGAGCGGGTCGACCCTCCTGGGTCGATCCTGTGGGTGGTCCCACCAGAAGCTTCCGCTGTTGTTTCCTGCTGTTTCCTGCCTGCCGCGCGCTCCGGGCGCGCAGCGATTTTTTCTTCCCGCCGCGCGCCCGGGGCGCGCGGCGGTTTTCTGCCCCGTCACTCGGCGCGTCGCCCCCGGGAGGCGCTGCGACGGGCGACGGGGACCCGCGCGTCGCCACCCGTCGCCCGTCGTGGCCTAAGCGCGGCCCGTACAGCCGGCGCGCGGCCCGTACGGGCTGCGCCAGGCCCGCGCGCGGCCCGTACGGGCTGCGCCATGTCGAGAGAATTAGGCAAAAGAGGACTGAACTAGCAAGAATGGGGATACAAATAGCAAACCCTAGAAGGGTTGTACTCGCTACAGAGCACCCCACTACAGGCTAGAGCATAATATTCTGACACACCCCCATAGCCAAAGTGGGGTGTAATCAGCAGAGGAAACAAAGCAGTACAAGCTCAGGGTGGATCACGATGTCACCACACATTCTGAGCACAAGCAAGAAGCAATAGTTTAAGGTTCACAATTATGAGCAAAGCTAGAGGCAGTCACGGGGGGCAAGTGAGGAGGAGGAGGGCTGGCGAGAGGAGAGTAGATAGGAGGCGACGACTGAAGCTGCAGACACACGGGCAACAGACGGCTCTGGTGCGACAACGTGGCTACCGGGAATGAGTGCCCCGGAGTACAGGAGTAACAGGCTCCGCGGCTAATATGCGCGGCAGGAGCAACGGACCCACAGGCGACGGCGCAACCGGCTCTCTGAGCTACCGGTGGCTAATCGACCCCCGGAATACAGGCGCTGCGGACTACACGACGGCGGCCTCCGCTCAACCTCCTCCAACTGTCCCACACCCCTCGACACACACCCCCTGCTTCAAACCCTAGCTCCACTCCGACGGTACCCCCTATAAACCCCAAACCCTAGGCTCCCACACACCACCCCCCTCAGCGGCAGCTGTAGCAGAGGGAGACGAGGGAGGAGGAGGAGCAGGGGGAGGAACTCACAACCGACACCCCCATAGCCGCCACCCCCACACTCTCCACCCCCAAACCCTAAAACGGGCGGAACGGGGGAAGGAGCGCGGGGGACGGCGAGGGGGACGGCGCGCGGCCCCCAGGACGCCACCACGGGGCAGCGAGGGGCCGCGCGCGGCTCCTTAGGGCGCCGCGACGGGAATTTGGGGGGGGGGGGGGGGGGGGGGGGGGGGCGGGCGACGGGACCGAGGGGCCGCGGGCGACGGGAAAGCGGGGCCGCGGGCGACGGGATCGGGGGGGGCCGCGGGCGACGGGACCGAGGGGCCGCGGGCGACGGGAAAGCGGGGCCGCGGGCGACGGGAAAGCGGGGCCGCGGGCGACGGGATCGGGGGGCCGCGGGCGACGGGAAAGCGGGGCCGCGGGCGACGGGATCGGGGGGACGCGGGCATCCCCCACGGGAGGAAACCGCCGCGCGCCTCGGGGCGCGGCGGGATGAAAATTCCGTAAAAAAAAAAATTGCCAGGAAGGAGGCGTCGCGCGACCAGTAGAACAGCAGCGGAAGCATTTGGTGGTGGGCCCACCCACAGGATCGACCCAACAGGATCGTCCTGCTCTGATAGCATGTCGAGAGAATTAGGCAAAAGAGGACTGAACTAGCAAGAATGGGGATACAAATAGCAAACCCTAGAAGGGTTGTACTCGCTACAGAGCACCCCACTACAGGCTAGAGCATAATATTCTGACACGCCAGGCCCGCGCGCGGCCCGTACGGGAAGCGCCAGGCCCGCGCGCGGCTCGGGCCGCCTGCGCGCGGTTCGGGCGGCTATGCCAGGCCCGTGGGCGGCCCGTTCCTCGCTGCCCCTGCCCTCCCCACTGTCCCCCGTGCTTCTACTGGCGCCCCACCCCTCCTACAGCCCGTTCTCCTGAATTAGGGTTTGGGGGTGAGGGGTATGGGGGTGAAGCCACTGAGTGCCGTTCCCCTCCTCCTCCTCCTTCTCCGTCTCCCACTGCTGCAGCTGCCGCTGAGGGGGGTGGGTGTGTGGGAGCCGAGGGAGTGGCGCTAGGGGGTGTAGTGTGAGCGGTGCTAGGGGAACAGCAGGGGGTGTGTAAAAAGGGGGTGGGACAGCTGGGGGAAGTTGAGAGGAGGCCGTCGACTTGTCGTCCGCAGCGCCTGAAGTCCAGGGAGCCACGACCCCCTGTGGCCTGAGTAGTCCGGGGCTCTGCGCCCGGTAGCTACAGTGTGTGCACTCCTGGGAGCACAGCGAGCCAGCTGCGACCCCCTGTCGCCGTGTAGTCCGGGTTTAGCCTGGTAGCGTCAGTGCGGCGTACTCCTGCTGCCTGTGTGTCTGCAGCTTCAGCCGTCGCCTCTCATCTTCTTGCTCCCACAGTTTCTCCTCCTCCTCACTTGCCCTCTGTGATAGCCTCTAGCTTTGCTTATAATTGTGAACTATTGCTCTGTCTGCTTGTTATGTTGATTGTACCCCACTTTGACTATGGGGGTGTGTCAGAATGTGATGGTTGTCTAGCCTGCAGTGGGGTACTCTATAGCGAGTACAGCCCTTCTAGGGTTTGCATATATGTATCCCTATGCTTGTTAGTCAAAACCCTTCTTGCCTGTTTCTCGTTTTGGCCTAGCATTTTGACAGGTTTAGGGTGTCTTATAAGTCTTATAAATGGAAACTTTTAAAACTACTTAGAAACATGTTCACACATCCTGAAAAGAGTTTCTCATAATGAGCATGGATGTTGCAACCACTTCGGCCACTTCGGCAACCACTGCCCGCGACGCCACGTCATGGAGAAAACTTGCAGAGGCAATTTTGTTAGTGCCTGAGTTAGCACGTGGCAGAATTCGCGCTTCGCAAGGGTAAAAATGTACGCGGTATTTCAACTTTCGCTATAATATATTGAAGTTTCGATTATAAGACATATATGTCTTATCTCGTACACACAAATAGGTGTCTTATGATGAGGCTAGCCTGTTTATAAGTGACACCCGTATAGTAGACAACCCTTGTCTACTATTCAACACTGTCTTATATCCGGGCGATTACGGTACCATGTCCGAATTCAAGAAACAGATGGGTTAGCAAGTGGGACATGGATACTTTGTGGTGTTGAAAAATCAGGTAGCATCAGTACCAATCAGGTGTGTTACTGAATGAACTGTCCACCACAACACAATCCACACAGAGCGGGCAAGTCAAACAGCTGACCTAAATATCCTGGAAACCATCAGCTACAATATTTGAGCACCAGGGCCATCGGCTGCAACAGTAGCAGCAGTTGCAGCAGACGTAGCTAGCTGCTCCTCCAGATACGCCTCCACCAGGTGCGACCCACACGCGCGCTGCACCACAGGCATGGTGGCGGGTGAGTCCAGGCGCACAAACTCGCCCCCCGTGGGCTCTTCACTTTTACTCGCACTGCCTGCATCGGTGCTTGGGTGGGCGAACTGGCGGCGAGCAGCAGCAATGGCGTGGCGGATGGCAGAGTGGATGGACACGGCGAGCAGCAGAGGGGGCTCGCCCGATGCTGTGGAAGGGCGCAGGGGGGGAAATAGTGGGAAAAGTGGGTGGATGGGAGAAGGGCTTTGAAGCCAAGATGTGGTGGATGGGTGATGCACTGATGGCTGGTGTCCTGTGTGCCCTCTTGTGAGATGTTTGAGGTGCATCGATTCCCAGGACCCTCACGAAAAAGTGCAACACAATGGTTGGGATGGCCAAGTTATGCACCTTCGCCTTCGCCTGGAACAACACGATGCTCTGATGCTCTGTGCACTTGGAACACAATGCTATGCAGTGACAGGGGGAGGCATGGAAGAGAGGGAGGTGAAGCGGGGTAAACAAGGGGGAAGCAGAAACGTGAGGGCAGAAAGCAAAACGAGTGAGAGAGAGAGGAGTGAGAGAGAGAGGAGTGAGAGAGGGGGGAGGGGTCACACATTTGGAGGAGAGCACGCCACATTTGTTGGCGGTGGCATGAAGGAGGGACACGTTGAGCTGCCGCGGCACGGTGTCGAATGATGGCACCTTGTACGCCCACGTGCCGTCCGAGAGCAGCTTCCCAGTAGCTTCGTCCACCAGCACCTCCTCCGTGGTGAAGTAGCCCTGCCCCTGCACGAACGCCCCCTCCACCTGGGCAGGGGGGAGGGAGGGAAGGGAGGGGAAGGGAGGGGGAGAGGGGGAGGGAGTGGGAGAGGGGGAGGGAGAGGGGGAAGGGGAGGGAGAGGTAGAAGGGGAGGGAGAGGGAGAGGGAGAGGGAGAGGGAGGGAGAGGGAGAAGGGGAGGGAGAGGGAGAAGGGGAGGGAGAGGTAGAAGGGGAGGGAGAGGGAGAGGAAGCTGAGCAGAGTTCTGACATAGTTGGTGGGCGTTCACACAATCAAAGAGACGGGTAAGCGGTGACGAACTGTGATAAGAAACACAGTTTCTGGGGAAGGTCCAAGAGGTGAAAGTATAGAGGGGTACGAGTGGATGGATGGACCAGTGGATGGATGGACCAGTGGATGGATGGACCAGTGGATGGATGGACCAGTGGATGGATGGACCAGTGGATGGATGGACCAGTGGATGGATGGACCAGTGGATGGATGGACCAGTGGATGGATGGACCAGTGGATGGATGGACCAGTGGATGGATGGACCAGTGGATGGATGGACCAGTGGATGGATGGACCAGTGGATGCATGCATGTGGCGTGCACTCGTGTGTACCTGGCCAATGTCGACAGCAGGGTTGAGGCTGCGCGCACAGTCATAGTGGATGTCAGCACGCAGCACTGCCACTGCCCCCGTCAGCACGTCCACCTCCACCTGCCCAACCATGGGGAGACATACAAGGGTGGACGTGCGAGGATGAATGGAGGAGAGACCCTGGCATATCGTGCATATCGTGCATATCGTGCATCTCGTGCATATCATGCATGGGATTGAAAGCACGGCAGAGGTGGAACGGTCTGGGTGCAAGCTTGGTTTCTTCACGCCAGTCACCAGCAGGCAGCCACACTGAGTTGAGGAGTACCTCAGAGGCGGCGGCACCAAAGGTGAAGTAGGAGGTGTGGGAGGGGTCGGGGGTGAAGTGCGCCTGCGCTGACAGCACCAGCTCCATTGCCTTGGCCTGCGCTGCCACCTCCTCCCACCTCGCCACGTCACCCTCCTCTACTGCCACGTCACCCTCTCCCACTCCTGACTCGCCTGCCATGAGCCACTCGCCTGCCATGAGCCCGCACTCCCTCCTCACCCGCCGGCGCGCCTTGGCCTGCTCAACTGCAGCCTTGGCGGTGAGCAGCGCGGGCAGCAGGTGGTGGCAGGCGAGCAGCACGGCGGCACAGCAGGCTTTAGAGGAGGAGCTGGCAGCCGTCATGCCCGCATTGCCTATTGACAGGCTGTCGTTCTCCACCACTCTGATACAACTCACGTCCACCGCCCTCCGCTCCGATACGCTGCTGCCTCTGCTGCCACCACCACCACTGCCCCCACCGCTGCTGCCACCACTACTGCAGCTGCCACTGCCAGCAGCGCTGCCGCTCCAGCTGCCACAGCCCCTGCTAACGTCTGTGTTGCTGGTAGCGGTGCCGCTCCAGAGGGAGTTGAGGCCAAGGGCAGCAGCCTGGCGCAGCTTGGTGGAGAGCCCCTGCCCCATCTCCACGCCGCCCGCCTCCACCACCACAGTCCCATCGCCAAACACAGTGACACGCGCGGGCTTGGCGAGCAGCGGCACGTGGTAGAGTGCAGGCGCCATGGCCAGGCCTCGCTTGCGCCACACGTGTGCCGCGTTGAACTCCTCCACTGCTGCTGCCCGCCTGCTGTAGCTCGATAGGACCTTCGCCTCCCTCCACACTCGCTGTGCTATCGCCCCCTCATCCTCATCCCTCTCCTCCCCCTCCTGCTTATTCTCCTCCCCCACTGCTTCGCTACCGGGCTGCACAGTGCCACTGCTGTTGGTGTTGCTGCATGTGCTGTCACTGTCACTGTCACACACCTCAGCAGCAGGAGCGGCGGCAGCAGGAGTGGTAGCAGCAGGAGCAGGAGGAGGAGCGGGGAAGGCAGAGGGGAAGAAGTCACGGAGAGCGCGGGTGGTGATGAGGTTGCGCTCACGCACGGCCATGGGGGGCAGCCCCAGGGCAGCAGCCACGTGGTCCATCACACTCTCCGCCACCACCACCGCCTGCACCTCGCCTGGCGCCCTCACCGTGCTGCGCGTCGGCAGGTCCGTCCTGAGGGGCGGCAGAGGGGGGGAGTGAGGCCAGGGAGAGCATGAGGGGTGGCTGCCCCTTCCACGTCCCCCTTAGGCTGCCTTAGGCTCCCTTAGGGATCGCAAGGGTGGTCGCTAGCTACGATTTCGACTCACCAAGCATGCGTTTTGATGGCTTATTCAGTACACTCATATGAAGGGTGCGGATACTAACGGAAAGCGGGTGGCAGTTACGATTGAGGGAGGAGACGAGTGAAAACGAGAGAAAGGTGTTCGGCGCAGGGGATGGGAGCGAGGGATATGTCCAGTGGCAGTGCAGGTGAGGATGGAATGAAGGAAATATCTCCACATAAGAAGTGAATGGAGTGAGCAATGCCTGCCCATCTTGGTCCAGCACTGGCATCAACCAACACACCCAGCCCCCAGCCGCCTCCTCCACCCACCCACCCTCTGCCTACCACCGTACCATTCATCTCCTCCACCCACCCACCCTCTGCCTACCACCGTACGATTCATCTCCTCCCAATCCTTCCCATCGCCCCCCTTCCCTTCCCCTCTTCCACGCAACTCTCCATCCTTCCATCACCACTGCACCCCGCTCCACCACTCTCCCACACCCCCCTACCGCACCTGACCACTTTGAAGTCGATCTCCAGCGCGCCCCAGGCGTACTGCGCCAGCGCGGGCCCGTAGTTGGCAGCGACCCAGCAGCTGGTGCTGGCGCTGCTGCCGCCGTTCAGCACCGCCCGCACACGCAGTGCGTGCACGCGCCCCGTGCCATCACACCCCACGTCGTACCGCGCCCGCGCCTCGTGCCGCCCGCCCACTAAGGCGGTGTCCGCCTTGCGGTCCAAGGCCATGCGCACGGGGCAGTGCAGGTGCTGCGCTGCCAGCGCACACGCCACCGCCACCTGGCGCCATGGGAGGGGGAGTGGATGGTTGAGCAGAGTAGCATCCGGAAAGGGGAGGGATGATGGAGGGCGAGGGGTGGAAGGGGTGGTTGGCAAAGCAGAGTGGGAGGAAGAAAGAACAGAGTCGGTGAAGACTGCGGCATGGCGAATGAGGCAAGCGGCATGGCGAATGAGGCAAGCGGCATGTGTGCCTGTGTTGGGAGCAGGTACTCTTTCAGACTGATCCAGCAATCGCCATTCGCAACCCTTACCAATGATCCCCCATATCCTCTCCACCACCTTTACCAACTGCCTAATAATCCCCTCAAAATCTCCTCCCAACTCCTTCCACCCTCCTCCCCCAATCCCCACACGAAACCCCACCCCACCAACCCCTCTCCATCGTCCCCACCCCACCTCCCCTCCCCATCACACTCACGCGACTAGCCTGAACCGTCTTGCCGCCGAACGCGCCGCCAAGGCGGCGGGTGACGATGCGCACGCAGGAGAGGGGCAGCCCCAGGGCGAGCGCCACGGCCTGCTGGGTGTGCTCGGGGCTCTGCGTGGCGCTCTGCACCGTCACGCTGCCCCCCTCGTCCGGCACTGCAAGCGCTGCCTGCGGCTCCAAGTAGAAGTGCTGCTGCGAGGCAGAGCGCACCTGGTGCAAGTTGGAGAGGGACGGAGGGGGGGAGGGGGGGAGGGGGGTGTCTGAGTCGACTTTTGAGTCATCTAAAAAATCGCCTGGCATTGGCAGCGCTGCCTGTGGCTCCAAGTAGAAATGCTTCTGCCACCCCGACCGCACCTGGTGGTGGGTGGGTGGTGGGGGTGGCATGGGTGCGGGGCGAGTGGATGGGTGGCTTTGGCCTTGAGCGTGTGCTGCTGAGGCGCCTCAACCGCTGAGGTGCCTCACACGCCGAGCTGCCTCACACGCCGAGGTGCCTCACACGCCGAGGTGCCTCACACGCTGAGATACCAATGGAGGGAAGGGAGAGCAGAGAGGGGATGAGTGGGGAGACATGCGGCACTTGCGAACAGGGACGAAGAGGAAGTAAGGCGAGCGATGAGAGAGGAGGGAAGGAGAGAGGAAGAGAGGAGAGAGAGGTGAAAGGGAAGATGAGAGGCAAGGGCAGGGTTATACCTCACACATGCTCCACCGTGCATCATGGTCCACCGTGCATCATGCTCCACCGTGCATCATGCTCCACCGTGCATCATGGTCCTGCAAACATGTGGCTGCTCTCGCCACAGCGCTATTTCCCAGCTCTCACCATCGCCCTCCTGCTAGCATGGCCACACCTCCTCACCTCTCCACTGATCCTCAAAGGGCTCTTGTCGAAGGCTTCCTGGAAGTTTCCTCGGCGAGGAAGGCAGTTGAGGAAGGCGGGGGGGAGAGGAAGGAAGGCCCCCTCCGCCTCCGCCTGCTCGATCGTCAGAATGGGACCCCGCCTGCCCCGCCCTGCACTGGATGCTTCTGTCCATGCAGCCTCCTTTGCTGATCCCACTGCTGCTGTTGTTGGCGACGCTGCTACGTCTTCTGCTGCTGCTGGCTCCATGGAGGCCGGCAGAGGAAAGGGGTCATAGGAGCAGTGCACCTTGCGTGCGCCCTCCTGTGCGTGGCGGTATGAGTCTGCCACCTGGCGGATGATTCACGGGTGGTGAGGAGGGATGGGAGGGAAACCGGGGATCGAGATGGAGAGGCGTGGAAAGGAAGTGGTGAGAGGAATGATTGAGGTGCTGTGCTGTTCAGGTGCTGTGCTGTTGAGGTGCTGTGCTGTTGAGGTGCTGTGCTGTTGAGGTGGTGTGCTGTTGATGTGGTGTGCTGTTGAGGTGCTGTGCTGTTGAGGTGCTGTGCTGTTGAGGTGCTGTGCTGTTGAGGTGCTGTGCTGTTGAGGTGCTGTGCTGTTGAGGTGGTGTGCTGTTGAGGTGGTGTGGTGTTGAGGTGGTGTGCTGTTGAGGTGGTGTGGTGTTGAGGTGGTGTGCTGTTGAGGTGGTGTGCTGTTGAGGTGGTGTGGTGTTGAGGTGGTGTGCTGTTGAGGTGGTTTGGTGTTGAGGTGGTGTGCTGTTGAGGTGCTGTGCTGTTGAGGTGCTGTGCTGTTGAGGTGGTGTGCTGTTGAGGTGGTGTGCTGTTGAGGTGCTGTGCTGTTGAGGTGGTGTGCTGTTGAGGTGGTGTGCTGTTGAGGTGGTGTGGTGTTGAGGTGGCAAAGGAGAGGAAACGATGAGAGAGCACGGAGCGGAGTTCCAAGTGCAGAGCGCCACATAGACCAACGCACAGCAGCCAGCCAATGGCCGCAACACAAACCCCACTTCCCCCCTTTTGTCCCTGCGCCACCCTCCACACCCTTCCATGCCACCCAGCAGCACCCAGCACGCACCACGAGGGCGACAGGCTGGCCATGGAAGTGCGAGGTGTTGTCGGCAAAGAGTGGGTCCACCGCCCCCACAAGCAGCGACGCGATGTTGGCCCCCCCGGACGGCAGGTGCGAGGCGTCCAGCACCGCCACCACTCCCGGGGAGGCCAGCGCAGCGCTGTAGTGGCGCGCGGTGATGCGCGCACAGGGGTGCGTGGCGACTGCAAAGGCGGCGTAGAGGCACGTGGCCGGCGCTGGCATGTCGTCCACGTACCTTGCATGGCCTGGTGGGGGGAAGGGCGGGGAAAGGCAAGGGCGGAGAGCAGGGGGAGAAGGAAGAGAGCAGGGGGAGAAGGAGGAATATGGGATGTGGTACAGAGAGGGGAGAGAGGGGAGAAAAGCGACGGGAGAGAGGAGGGTGAGAGAGTGAGTGGTTGCGACTGTAAGTGTGGGGTGCGGGTGAGAGGAGGAAGGATGAGAGTGGAGCGGGAGCGGACAGTGGCAGATGGCGTTTCGGGAGAAAGCGAGCAGGCACAGTGGCAGGCACAGTGGCAGGCACAGTGGCAGGTACAAGCGACCAAGGGAGCCATAGGTGCGCCATCATACCTGTGGCTTGCAGGTCGGCACCCAGCTTGGGTAGGGGCAGGGCAAGAGGAAAGATGTCCCTTGTGACGCTGAACAGCTGCTGGCCCCTCATCACCACGTGCTGCTGGTCGCTGCTGCCATGCGCCCCAGCAGCAGCGCCACCACCCACTCCAGGGCAGCGTGTGTTGCACGCACCCTCTGTGTCATCCCCATTCTCTCTGCTCTTCCTTGCCAGGTCCGCCTGGAGCAGGTCCGCGCGGGGCAGGTCTGTGTGGGGCAGGTGCGTGTGGGATGAGTCGGTCTTGGGCAGGAGGCGCGAGAGGAAGGAGAAGAGGAAGCCGACAGCGGCCTCCACGCGGTACTCCCCCCACCGCGTGCCCTCTAAGGGCACCACCTCCTCCCTCACTGCCCTCACCGCCGCCAGCACGTTGCCAGGTGTCAGCACGCCATTGGCTGCCAGCAGACAGGCCTCGGCGCGGCGGGTGTTGTAATTTCATAATTTGTACAACATACATAGGCTAGAATTAGATCTGTAGTACACTTATAAATTGGGGGTTGTTTAGTGTACCCTCCAACCACATTTTGTGGTTGGTTGGGATTGGTCCCTAGCTCAACCAATCCCAACCAACACACATTTGTGGTTGCTTGGGTCACAAGCAAGCTCACCCATTGGCCAACTTATTGGCCAATAGGGTAAGCTTCCCTTTCATCTCTCTCTTGCTCATTGTTTGTACTAAAGGGCCTCTTGGCTCATTATTCAATGTATCTCTTCTAGCTTTTCAACATGGTATCATGAGCTATTGGCTCACGCCTTAATCCCTCGATCCTAAGGCCACCCTCTCCTCCCCGTCCCTCAGACCTAGTCCTACTACGGTGCTCCCAAGCTCAGATCTACTCCTCTCGAGCTCCGATCTACTCCTCCCGAGCTCACATCTACTCGTCCCAAGCTCAGATCTACTCCTCCCAAGCTCACATCTACTCCTCCCGAGCTCAGATCTATCCCCCCCGAGCTCAGATCTACTCCTCCCGAGCTCACATCTACTCCTCCCGAGCTCAGATCTACTCCTCCCGAGCTCAGATCTACTCCTCCCGAGCTCACATCTACTCCTCCCGAGCTCAGATCTACTCCTCCCGAGCTCAGATCTACTCCTCCCGAGCTCACATCTACTCCTCCCGAGCTTAGATCTACTCCTCCCGAGCTCACATCTATTCCTCCCCGTTCCTCAGATCTAGCCCCACCCACGGAGCTGCCCTCCCTTCACGCACCCTTAAGGCGCTGTCCTCCCTCCCCGTGCGCCCCCTAAGGCGCTGCCCTCCAAGGCACGTCCAGATCTGCAACTCCAGCGCCCAGATCTGCATTCCCCGCGCTCAGATCTGCAACTCCAGCGCCCAGATCTGCATTCCCCGCGCTCAGATCTGCAACTCCAGCGCCCAGATCTGTACTCCCTGCGACCAGATCTACTCCTCCCGCGCCTAGATCTGATCATTCCGCGCCCAGATCTGGATTCCGCGCCACCAGATCTCCTCCTCCCGCGCCCAGATCTGAACATTTCGCACCCAGATCTGCACTCCGCGCGCCCAGATCTGCACTCCGCCCACCCAGATCTGCCCTCCGCACGTCCAGATCTGCACTCCGCGCGCCCAGATCTGCCCTCCGCGCGCCCAGATCTGCCCTCCGCGCGCCCAGATCTGCATCTCCCGCGCTGAAATCTGACCATTTCGCGCCCATCTCTGCTCGTCCGCGCCCTGCCCGTCCGCACGCCCTGCTCGTCCGCGCCCTGCCCGTCCGCACGCCCTGCTCGTCCGCGCCCTGCCCGTCCGCACGCCCTGCTCGTCCGCGCCCTGCCCGTCCGCACGCCCTGCTCGTCCGCGCCGTGCCTGTCCGCGCGCCCTGCTCGTCCGCGCCGTGCCCGTCCGCGCGCCCTGCTCGTCCGCCCTTCGCGTCCGCGCCCTGCCCGTCCGCACGCCCTGCTCGTCCGCGCCCTGCCCGTCCGCACGCCCTGCTCGTCCGCGCCCTGCCCGTCCGCACGCCCTGCTCGTCCGCGCCCTGCCCGTCCGCGCGCTCTGCTCGTCCGCGCCCTCCCCGTCCGCGCACTCGTCGCACGCCTCCTTCCCCGCTCGCTGTCCCCCGTCCCCTCGTCCGCCCCCTGCCCACCTCCCCGGCATACCGCACATTTGCAAACGCATACCGCACACCTTCATGCCCTGCTCGCCTGCGCCATGCCGTAACCGCCCACACTCACATTGCTCCCTCCATGGCAATAGTCGCCCTGGCATGCAGCAGAAGTGGTGCCGGTGGGCATGGAGGAGGGCATAGTGGTAGCTGTGGTGGTGGTCAAGGGAGACTCGCAGGATATTGTGGTATCAGGGGTTTGAGCGCAGGCTGCGGCGCAGCAGCAGCCTTCTCTCCTCGTGAATATGTGCCTCGCTATGGCCCGACTCGGGGACTTCAGTGCAAAATCTCCACCCAAGCCCACCATGCCCCGAGTCCACCCTTCTCTCCTCCTCCTCCTCAGCAGCAGCAGCAGCAGCAGCAGCAGCAGCAGCAGCAGCAGCAGCAGCAGCAGCAGCAGCAGCAGCAGCAGCAGCAGCAGCAGCAGCAGCAGCAGCAGCGGCAGCGGCAGCGGCAGCGGCAGCGGCAGCAGCAGCGGCAGCGGCAGCGGCAGCGGCAGCGGCAGCGGCAGCAGCAGCAGCAGCAGCAGCAGCAGCAGCAGCAGCAGCAGCAGCACCGGCAGCAGCAGCAGCAGCAGCAGCAGCAGCAGCAGCAGCAGCAGCAGCAGCAGCAGCAGCAGCAGCAGCAGCAGCAGCAGCAGCAGCAGCAGCAGCAGCAGCAGCAGCACCAGCACCAGCAGCTCTGGCACCTCCTCCTCCAGCTCCAGCAGTTGCTTCACCGCCTGCAGCAGCACCTTAGCGCACAAGCGCAGCTGCCTCTTCCTCCTCCTCCCCCAACTTCCCAGCAGAACTCAGTTCCGCATTGTTCCACAAGCTCCGCCACTTCAAGCAATGTCCCACCTCTCTCATCCGTTGGTATTGCTGGTATGGTCAATCAAGCCACATCAGCTGCCCCTGCCACATACTCCTCTAGCACTAAAGAAACTGCGTTCCAGTCCTCTGTCCCTTCCTCCTCCCTCCCCTCCACTGTCGACTTTGTCCTTGACAGCGGCGCCACTGACACAGTTCTTCGCGATGCTGGCACCTTGCGCCCCCTCCCAACGCCTACCTCCCTCCTTGGCGCCGATAGCAGCTTCTCTATCCCCTGCCATAACACCTCGACTCTCCCCTGCCCACTCTTCCCCTCAGGCACTGTCACCGGTCTCCACATACCCTCTCTTCGCGCTAATCTCCTCTCGCAAAGGTCCCTTCAACAAGCCGGTATCACCACAGTATTCCCAGCTTATGCTAACTATTGCGCTCTCTACCATTCCGCCACCGGTCAGTTCATTTCTCGCATTCCATTTTGCCCTCGCTCCCGTCTGTACACCCTTCGTGTTCCTCGCCTCCCCTCCTGTCAGGTCATCTCTCGTCCTCCCCTCCACCCTCTCATCCCACCCCCTCCTCTCCCTCCCACTAACCCGGACCTCCCTTCACGCCCCCCCCCTGACTCCTCTTGCTCCTGTCGCTCCCTCTCCCACCCTGCCGTCCTCCTCCATCACAGGCTAGGTCACCCTAACTTCGCTACTCTACGCTCCTCTGTTTCCTCCGGTCTCCTCCATGGTCTCCCCTCCTCCCTCCCTCCTCTCCCCAAATCCCCTGCCCCCCCCTGCACCGTCTGCGTTCAGAGCAAGCTCAAGCAGCAGCCGCACCGGAGCTCCCCCTCCGCTGCTGCTCAGCCACTTGATCTTGTTCACATGGACCTCTGGGGCCCCAATCCCTCTCCCACTCGCCAGGGCCATCGATACCTCCTCGTACTCGTCGATGATCACAGTCGGTACTCGTCCGTCTCTCTCCTTCGGACGAAGGCAGATGCCCCGGCTGCGATCATCGCCTGGCTCGAGCGAGCAAACACCCATTTTGGGCGCCCTGTTCGCCGCCTTCACTCTGATGGTGGTGGTGAGTTCCTTAACAACCAAATATCCTCCTATTGCCAGTCTCATGGCATTCTTCAGACTTACACCCTCCCTCACTCCCCACAGCAGAACGGTGTGGCTGAAAGTCGTGTTCGAGAGATCACCAAAACTGCCCGGTGTCTCCTTGTCCACGCCTCCTGCCCTCCTTCTCTGTGGGGCTACGCCCTCCTTCATGCCGCCCTGCTTACTAACCTTTACCCTCACCCTCTTCTCCCATCCACCACCCCCACTGAGCTGTGGACGAACAACAAGCCTGATGTCTCATCTCTTCGTGTCTGGGGCTCAAAGGCTTATGTCCTTCTTCACCCCGCTGACCGCTCCCGTTCTATGGGAAAGCTTGCCCCTCGTACCCTTCCCTGCATCTTTCTTGGTCATAACTCCTCCTCACCTGACTACCTTTTCCTCCATTCCCCCTCAGGTCGTCTATTCCGCAGTAGGGATGTGGTCTTTGATGAGTCCACTCCTTACTACTCCTCTCCCCCATCCACTGACCCACTCCCCCGTCTTCCCCGTCCCCTTGTCTGGTCTGACACCACCCCTCCCCCTCTACTTCCTCCTCCCCCCATCCTCCCTCCCCCTCCCCCACCGTCGTCCTCGTCCCACGGTGCCCCTCCCTTGTCTGGTGATATATTTGACCCGGAACCTCTGTCCTCTCCCGTCTCCCCCACACATTCCTCTCCTAGTGCCCCTCCCGCCCCTCCTTCACCTCCCTCGCTGCCGACTCGTCCTTCCCCCCCTCCCCGCACTGTACTAACCCGGTACCCCCATACCAGGTCACAAGACAGTATCCTTGGTGCACCGCCCCCTGTTACCCTCTCTACCTCTACCCTCCCCCCACTCTCCCCTCTCCTTCACCACTTCTTCCAGGCTGTTCTGCATCAACCTCCCCCTGCAGCAGCCCCCGCCGCCACCTCTCCAGCAGCGGCGCCAGCAGCAGCACCAGCAGCACGACCAGCAGCGGCACCAGCAGCAGGACCAGCAGCGGCACCAGCAGCAGGACCAGCAGCGGTACCAGCAGCAGGACCAGCGGCGGCACCAGCAGCGGCACCAGCAGCGGCACCAGCAGCGGCACCAGCAGCAGGACCAGCAGCGGCACCAGCAGCAGGACCAGCAGCGGCACCAGCAGCGGCACCAGCAGCGGCACCAGCAGCGGCACGTGCAGCAGCACCAGCGGCACCAACGGTCATCCGCTCCTTCCACACCTCCCTCTCTGAGGACTCCCATGAGGAGTTCCTTGACCTCCACCTCTGTGACCCTTCCCTTCTACCCATCACCTTCGACCTTTCTGGGACACCTGTCTTCGCATTCTCCTCTGCTCCCTCCGTTTTCATCCCTACCACGTATGAGGAGGCCATGGCTTGCCCCGACGCCCCACTCTGGCTCGCCGCCATTATCAAGGAGCTGGAGGCCTTTGTCGCCAACTCCTCCTTTGTTGATGTGCCTCGCCCTCCCTCCTCTACGAACGTGGTGAAGGGGAAGTGGGTGTTTCGCGTCAAACAACTGCCAGGGGAGCCGCCCGTCTACAAGGCTCGTTACTGCGCCAAGGGGTTCACGCAGCGGTATGGTTTTGACTTCTTCGATACCTTCTCCCCCACTGCCAAGCCCGCTACTGTTCGCGCCGTGCTCGACCTCGCCGCTCGCCTCAATATGGAGATCCACTCGATGGACGTCTCTAACGCCTTCCTCCAAGGCGTCCTCCGCGAGCTTATCTACATGGAGCGTCCTGCCGGTTTTCACCTTCCCTTCCCTGCGGACTCTGTCTGGCAGCTGCGTCGCCCTGTGTATGGGCTCCGACAGGCCCCGAGGGAGTGGCATGCTAAGCTTGCCGCCACCCTTGCTGAACTTGGATTCCGCACCTCCCGTTCTGACGCCAGCCTCTTCCTCCGCGCCTCCCCCTCCCCCTTCTACATCCTTGTCTATGTCGATGACATGATTCTACTCACTGCCGACCTCAGCGAGTTGGAGCGTGTTAAGGCTGAGTTGGGCAGCCGTCTCAAGTGCAAGGACTTGGGCGAATTGCAGCATTACCTGGGCATGACAATCACCCGCGATCGCTCCGCCCGCACCATCTCTCTCTCCCAGGGTCATTACTTGCAGCAGGTCTTGGAGCGGTTTGACATGGTCCGCGGCGGCGCCCAACCTACTCCTCTTTCTGTCGGGCACCACCTCTCTCCACCCACCTCCCCCTCAGCCTCCTCCCATCCTTATCCCGAGCTCATCGGCTCCCTCATGTACGCCATGGTCTCCACTCGCCCTGACCTTGCCTACCCCATCAGCGTCCTCGCTCGTTTTGTTGGCGCAGGCAAGCATACGGAAGAGCACTGGCAGGCCGCCAAGCGTGTCCTCCGGTACCTTCGTGGCACCAAGGACTATGTCCTTACCCTCGGCGGCCCCTCCCCACCTACCCTCAGCGGCTACAGTGACTCCTCCTGGGCTGATTCCCAGCCAGATCGTCGCTCCTCCCAGGGCTATGGCTTCTCTCTTGGCAGCGGCCTTATCAGCTGGCGCTCCACCCGCTCCTCGGCTGTCGCCCTCTCCTCCTGCGAGGCGGAGTTGTATGCCGCCACCATGGCTGCGCAAGAGGCCCGCTGGCTCACCTTCCTCCTTGAGGAACTTGGTGCCCCCCAGCGCTGTCCCACCATTTGGTGTGACAATGCCAGTACCATTCACCTCACCAAAGATGCCGTGTTTCACGGGCGTTCCAAGCACATTGAGCTCCGTCATTTCTTCATTCGCGATCTTGTTCAGGCGGGGCACCTTCGGCTCGACAAGGTTGACTCGGCGGCCAACCTTGCCGACATCTTCACAAAAGCTCTTCCTCATGTCGCTCACTCTTTCCTACTTCGTCTTCTTGGCCTCACTCCTCCTAAGTCGCCTCCCGCCTCTTGATTCTAGCCTTCTAGCCTTATGCATGTTGGGGGGTTGTGTTGTAATTTCATAATTTGTACAACATACATAGGCTAGAATTAGATCTGTAGTACACTTATAAATTGGGGGTTGTTTAGTGTACCCTCCAACCACATTTTGTGGTTGGTTGGGATTGGTCCCTAGCTCAACCAATCCCAACCAACACACATTTGTGGTTGCTTGGGTCACAAGCAAGCTCACCCATTGGCCAACTTATTGGCCAATAGGGTAAGCTTCCCTTTCATCTCTCTCTTGCTCATTGTTTGTACTAAAGGGCCTCTTGGCTCATTATTCAATGTATCTCTTCTAGCTTTTCAACAGCGGGCTCTGATGGCGCGTGGGCCGTTGAAGGCGCCGAAGACCAGACGGGCGGCGAGGATGGTGGGGGGCGGGGGAGGGAGCAAGCCAGCAGTGGAGGAGGAGGAGAGGGGTGGAAGGGAGGAGGAGGCGATGCAGAGGAGGAAGGCAGCGTTGACATAGGCATAGGCGTTGCCAGAGGGGCGGACAGAGGCACGGAAGGAGTCAAACACGAGCTGAGGAGCGGCAGGGGAGGGCGAGGAGGAAGAGGGGGAGGGGGGCGTGGGGCATGGCAGGAATACGGAGTGCAGGAGAGTGGTGGGAGGGAGTGGGGAGCGGTGAAGAAATTCCTCGAGTGGGAGCTCCTCCCACACCCACCCATCGGTGCCTGCTGCGCTTCTTGAACCCAGCACGCTGCTGCTGCGCCCCAGGCTGCCTGTGAGAGAAGCAGAGGCAGGGGGGGCGGGAGAGGGAGTGGCAGTGCGCACGGAGGCACAGAGGGCGAGCAGCAGAGTGGCGACGTCAGAGGGGAAGGCGCGGCGAGAGGCAGCGAGCACGAGGTTGCCTCCGATGCTGGCAGCGTTGCGTACATGCGGCCCCGCCACCCTCCTCACATGGGCTGCCACTCGCCCCAACACTGGTTTTGCTGCTGCCGCCGCCGCTGATGCAGCTGCTGGTGCTGGTGGTGCTGCCCCCTTGGCATCATCCCAGCCGTGAATCGGAGGGCCTCTGTATTCTGCGCTGGCGAAACCACCGTCGCCCTTCCCTGCCACGGCCTCCAGCACTGCAATGACATCCGATAGAGTCACAGCCGCACCGAACCTTATCCCCATCACACGCTCCTTCCTCACCTCTCCCCTCTCGCCCCCCTCACCGTCCTCCCCGGCAGGCCCCTCCTCCCACGCCACACGCTGCAGCTCCAGCACGCCCTTGACGTCCACGAGAGTGACATGAGCCATGGCGTCACAGCGCGCCAGGTCAGGATACACGCCCGCCGCCGTGCTGCCCGCCACCAGCCGCACCTCGCCCCACTCACCCTCACAATCGCCGTGGGAGATCGCTCCTGCTCCTCGCCCACCCTCTTCCTCTTCCCTGCTGCTTCCGCCTGCTCCTCCCTCCTCGCCTGCTCCCCTCCCCTCACCACCACTCCCTTCGTTCCTTCCCCTCAGCAGCACCGTTCTCAGCTCCTCTAGACTCCTGGGCGCCACCCACGTCACCTTCCTGCTCCCTCTCCTCCGCCCCTTCCCCTGCTGTCCCGCTGCTTCCTCTGCACCACCTCTTGCACTGTTGCCACCAGCACCATCACTGCCGTCACCTGCCACGTCCACTGCGTCTGCTTGTCCCTCCAGCCCCCCTTCCGCGCTACAACCCCGCTCCTGCTCCAGCCCCACCCCTGCGTCCTCCCAGTGCTCCCACACCAGCATCTCGCCTGCCACGTCATCTGTTGCCCTTCCTGCGCGCCCCTGCCATGGATTGGCGTGTTGCTGGATTGGAGTGCAGGAGAGTGGTGGGAGGGAGTGGGGAGCGGTGAAGAAATTCCTCGAGTGGGAGCTCCTCCCACACCCACCCATCGGTGCCTGCTGCGCTTCTTGAACCCAGCACGCTGCTGCTGCGCCCCAGGCTGCCTGTGAGAGAAGCAGAGGCAGGGGGGGCGGGAGAGGGAGTGGCAGTGCGCACGGAGGCACAGAGGGCGAGCAGCAGAGTGGCGACGTCAGAGGGGAAGGCGCGGCGAGAGGCAGCGAGCACGAGGTTGCCTCCGATGCTGGCAGCGTTGCGTACATGCGGCCCCGCCACCCTCCTCACATGGGCTGCCACTCGCCCCAACACTGGTTTTGCTGCTGCCGCCGCCGCTGATGCAGCTGCTGGTGCTGGTGGTGCTGCCCCCTTGGCATCATCCCAGCCGTGAATCGGAGGGCCTCTGTATTCTGCGCTGGCGAAACCACCGTCGCCCTTCCCTGCCACGGCCTCCAGCACTGCAATGACATCCGATAGAGTCACAGCCGCACCGAACCTTATCCCCATCACACGCTCCTTCCTCACCTCTCCCCTCTCGCCCCCCTCACCGTCCTCCCCGGCAGGCCCCTCCTCCCACGCCACACGCTGCAGCTCCAGCACGCCCTTGACGTCCACGAGAGTGACATGAGCCATGGCGTCACAGCGCGCCAGGTCAGGATACACGCCCGCCGCCGTGCTGCCCGCCACCAGCCGCACCTCGCCCCACTCACCCTCACAATCGCCGTGGGAGATCGCTCCTGCTCCTCGCCCACCCTCTTCCTCTTCCCTGCTGCTTCCGCCTGCTCCTCCCTCCTCGCCTGCTCCCCTCCCCTCACCACCACTCCCTTCGTTCCTTCCCCTCAGCAGCACCGTTCTCAGCTCCTCTAGACTCCTGGGCGCCACCCACGTCACCTTCCTGCTCCCTCTCCTCCGCCCCTTCCCCTGCTGTCCCGCTGCTTCCTCTGCACCACCTCTTGCACTGTTGCCACCAGCACCATCACTGCCGTCACCTGCCACGTCCACTGCGTCTGCTTGTCCCTCCAGCCCCCCTTCCGCGCTACAACCCCGCTCCTGCTCCAGCCCCACCCCTGCGTCCTCCCAGTGCTCCCACACCAGCATCTCGCCTGCCACGTCATCTGTTGCCCTTCCTGCGCGCCCCTGCCATGGATTGGCGTGTTGCTGGGCCTCCCGCTTGAGCCATGCGGGGAAGGGCGGGTCACAGAGGGGGTTGTAGCGGGGGAGGGGTTTGCCACGCACGCTGCACATCCCGCTGCACTCAGCGCTGCACGGATTGCTGCTTTGAGAGCCATGCTGCGCCACTGCGCCCCCCTTCCCTGGCGCCGCAGCAGGTGTAGCAGGGGCGAACTCGCTGAGCCCCACCACCCTGCACGCCCGTGCCCCTACCGCTGCAGCACCACGCCCACCAGCACACGACCCCAGCTCCTCAAGGTCCATCACCCCCGCTGCAGCGCTTGCTGCACTGCCTGTACGTGCAGCTGCGCTGCTAGTGCGGCGCCCAGCAAAGCTCTTGCAGGCGTCAAGGATGGGGCGGTACCCCGTGCAGCGACACAGGTTGCCCGCCATCGCCTGCTCCGCCTCCTCCTCCGTCAGCCCTGCCACCACCTCCACCCCACCACTAGCTACAGCACCAGCAGCCGCAGCCGCAGCCGCAGCACCAACACTAGCATGCTCACCAGCAGCAGCGGGGGAGCGGTGGCGGCGGAGGGCGGCATAGAGGGCGATGGCGACGCCGGGAGTGCAGAAGCCACACTGCGACGCGTGGAACCCCGCCAGCCGCTGCTGCACCGCATGGGGTGTCAGTGGCCGCCCGCCCTGGTAGCAGCTGTGCGGGTCGCGCTGCTGCTGCTGCTGTGACGCTGGGTTGAAAGATGCGCCGTCAGCTGCACCTGTATCCGCGCCCTGCCATGCACCAGGGGATGCACCAGGGGATGCACCAGGGGATGCACCAGGGGATGCACCTGTCCCTGGAGGGGACTCCGTGTGGGGAGGTGGTGGCGAGAGGCAGAGGCCCTCAGCGGTGGTGACGGCAGCGAGGTGCAGCGAGGCGAGCGGCAGCAGGCAGGCGTTGAGCGAGCGGTCGTCCACCGTGTGGGTGAGGGGGTCGTAGCGCGCTACCATCACGGCGCATGCCCCGCACCCACCTGTGCACGTTAAGTGAGGGGTGGGGAGGGGTGGGTGGAAGCAGGGAGAAGTGAGAAAAAGAGGATTAAAGGCACATGCGCTTGAGAGAGGCCATGGGCGAGCACAGGCACAGGCGCAGCATGTGTGTGTGCGCCGTGGGTTGACCTTTGATGCAGCAGCGCACACGTTGGGTGTCCTCAGCGGCCGTGAGGCATGCTCACGGAGGCATGCTCAGGGAGGGCCAAGGGGGCAAGGGGGCAAGGGGGCAAGGGGGCAAGGGGGCAAGGGGGCAAGGCACGCACGACGCACGACCACGGCAGCAGCCCAGGGGCGCGCACCTTCCCCGCATCCCCAGGGGCGCGCACCTTCCCCGCATCCCCAGGGGCACGCACCTTCCCCGCATCCCCAGGGGCGCGCACCTTCCCCGCATCCCCAGGGGCGCGCACCTTCCCCCCATCCCCAGGGGCGCGCACCTTCCCCGCATCCCCAGCGGCGAGCACCTTCCCCGCAGCCGAGCTTGGTGCCAGTGAGCGCGGTCCTGGAGCGGAGGAAATCGCTGAGCGACATGCGCGGATCCACGTCGCGCACCTCCACGCGCCGCCCGTTCACCGCCAGCACCAGCGCCGCCGCGCGGTGGCTACTAGAGGAGGCCGTTCCGCCGCAGCCGCCGTTAGCCTCTGCGGACGCAGCGCGCGCCATGGCGGAGAGCGGACGTGGGTGCCAGTGCAGGGTCGCGCTACTAGTATGCAACGCGCGCGTGCTGCACGGGCTGCCGCCTGTGGACGTTAACGCCGGGTTACCGCAGGGGCGTAGGCTGTGGTGGCGCTCGCTCTCCCAGAGAGCCAAGGCGAGGCGAGGCGAGGCGAGGCGAGGCGAGGCGAGGCGAGGCGAGGCGAGGGGAGGCGAGGGGAGGGGAGGGGAGGGGCGGTGCAGCGCGAGGCAAGGCAGGCGCGCAGGGAGAACGGTGCTGACTGGCCAAGTATCCTCGCCGTCAGATTTAGAGATCTATAGCGGCAGAGCGTGTGAGAAGATGGCAGTTCACGGCGTGGAGCAGGTGGATTGACCGCAGTGGCGCAGCTTCGGTCCGTCGGGGCGGGCAAGCGGATGGCGTGCTCGACGGCTCGTAGCAGTCGCGCGGAGAGCAGTGAGGGCAGCGGGCACAGCGAGATAGCGCGTGGCGGTGACGAGGAAGAGAGTGGAGCAGCAGAGAGGGCAGGTGGAAGCGTTGAAAGGGGTGGGTGGCTGCCATGGGCGTCTGGACGAGACGGACTTGCGCGTCCGCGTCCACGGCGCTGCGCTGCGCTGCGCTGAGCTGCGCCTGCTGGCGCATGGACCCAGAATGCGCGACCGGCGAGGCGAGGAGGCCTCGAGGTGGCCGGTCGTGCCCGTAGGAGGGCAGCTGCCATCAACCGTGGCGCCGCTGCTCGCAAGCAAGACAGGCGCGATTCCGACGCGCGCATGACGTTCGTGCGGGTGCAGGCGCAGGTGCAGCCTCGTAGAGGATTCTTGGGGAGAGCGAATTGCACGTTGGAAACAGTCCTAGCGTGTCATCAATCACTCGAGGCTGTCCTAGCCGCTCGCGAGTGACACTCCGAACGCAACCAAAGCCGCTGCTGTTGATACATAGGGAAAATATGCCACTAGAAACCAACATGGTACTCGATAACGTGAATGGTAAAAAAGTAACGCGTACGATCACTGTATCGGGTTTCCTTATATGTTTGGTAAGTGGGGTCACGGATTCAGCCACTAACAAGAGGTAAAAAACCTTGAAACACATGTAACTCCCGCAAAAAAAACTTGAAACTCTACAATATTCCCGCTCGCGCCCAACCAATCAGCTAGCTTCTTAAAAAAAACTAAAACTTAATCGGAATCGGAAGCGGTTTGGGAATGGATCAACCCTAAACACTAGGCGAGTTGTGTTTAGGGTTGATTCATACGAAAATCCATCCAAGTTCCTTTTGGGTATTTTCTTTTTTGGGTGGTGTTAGAATCCCAGCCACTAACCACTGGGATAAAAGGGCTTGTTTGTGTAGCGGGTGAGTGCGCCCATAACCCCCCAAGCCAACGTGCCTGTAACCCTTCCCTAGGATCAATCGGGGATCACCAGTGGACCTCTGACACCCCCCCGCACTGGGATGCCCGAGGTGCACACACCGGGATTCGAACCCGAGACCTTCGCTCTGATACCATGTCAGAATCCCAGCCACTAACCACTGGGATAAAAGGGCTTGTTTGTATAGCGGGTGAGTGCGCCCATAACCCCCCAGGCCAACGTGCCTGTAACCCTTCCCTAGGATCAATCGGGGATCACCAGTGGACCTCTTACAGGTGGGAGTTTCATCTGTGACCATTCACGTTAACTTTTCCCAGTTGATTGTTGTCGGAATAACCGAAAGGTTATTGTAGCATTCCCGAAGGTTCTCTCCTAGCGCACAACTTCATAACGAAGCAATGTTGCTACACCAGTATCGCTACATGCTCGTGTCGAGCACTCGGTAGCTCGAGAGCCACCCAAAGGTCAACGGTCACCGAAAGTCAACAGTCGTAACTGTTGACCAACCGTCAACCGCATCAGAGGTTACGCGATGCAACCAGGTAACTGCTAAAGAATGGCAATAGTCACAGTTACTGTAGTTATGCAATACAGTTGTAATAAGGGAATGTACCCTTCAGAGTACATGGCTAGCTAGACATCTATTTAATCTCCTTTTAATTCTATCTTAATCATCTTGTTTTCTTTCAATTACTACTAACAAGGACACTCAAAGACTCCACAGTCTTCTCAACAACTTAGCAACTTTATCATGTTCACTTCGATCCTCCAGTTATAACAACATGGTATCAGAGTAAGGGTGGATTATAAGGACTGCTAAGTTCTTGTTCTTCCTAAGAACAAACTCCTTACAAAGTTTTTCATTAAAGACCACCTAAGTCTGCTACACCATGGCCCCAGAAGGAAAAGCCACTGCAGACTCTCCGGGCCCACCACCAGCAACAACTAATGCGCCTTCAGCGGTGACTTCCGTCAGCGCCGCTCTCATTGAGCAGCTAGTCACTCGCATCAACGCTCTTGAGAGCCATCAAGCCATGAGCATTGACGGCTCGAGCTACGCCAGAGGCGCCGCCGGACTTCCTCTCCCTGGAGAAGATCGCCGCATCAACTTCGATACATCATTTACCTTCGACAACCGTCAAGCTGCAGCTCTTGCACAAGACAGTCAACATCGCGCACAATCAGAAGCAATCGCAACCATGCAATCCAAGTTCGTTCTGACTTGAAAGCTGAAGACTTCAACTCCATTCGACGGCAAAGATTTCTATACGTGGAGCATCGAATTCGAGCTCATCGCAACAACCGCTCAGATCAGGATGTACTACGGCGGGAGTTTACCCTTTTCATCGGAAGGTATCATCCAGGAAAAACATGAGTACTACCACGAATCCCTTCTCGCGTATACCGCGCTCCTCCGAAATCTCTCCCCCTCCGAGTAGCTCGGCTTCCGCTCCTACAAAACGGAGTGTGCTCATGCGCAACTGTCCTGGGAACACCTGCGCAATTCATACATGGCAACTGATCCGGCTACCATGAGTCGCCTGCTCAGTCAACTGATATCCGTCTAAATGCAGCAAGGGGAGAAAGCGGGACCGTATGTCAACCGGTGCCGCAATCTGCGCGACCATATTAAGTAGTGCGGCGGAACCGTCTCTGTCGACGTGTTCGTCTCAATGGTTCTCTCTGGCCTTGGACCCGATTGGTGTCAGATTATGTTATTTGTCTAGCCTGCAGTGGGGTGCTCAATAGTGAGTACAACCCCTTAGGGTTTCCTATATGTATCCTGCTGCTTGCTAGTTCAATCCATCATTCCCATTCTCACTTCTCCAATTCTCCTTCGTATACCACAAACCCTAGTCCTAGGGCACAACCTACTACCTCCTACTGTGGCCTAGGCTACTAAGCCTAGGCCACGCTCCTATTCTTCCTGACATGGTATCTAGAGCGGGCAAGATCCTGCTGCCTAGCTCAACGGGCCCACCAACTGCTTCCGCTGCCCTACTGTTCGCCGCGCGCTCCGTGGTGCGCGGCACTGGATTTTTCTTCCCGCCACGCGCTTCGAGCGTGTGGCGGCTTATTCTACCCGCCGCGCGCTCGGGGCGCGCGGCGGTTATCCCGTCCGTCGAGGCGCCCTCCGGGGGGCCTGCGTGCTGCTCCCTGCCGTCGCATGTCGCGGCGTCTTCAGGGGGCCCGCCTCTGCTCGTCGCGGCGCCCCCCCCTGGGTGCCGCTCCTGCTCGTCGCGACGCCCCTGCGGGACCCGCGCGGCGTCACCCTGCTTGTCGCGACGCCCCTGCGGGACCCGCGCGGCGTCGCCCCTACACGACACGACGCCCCCTGGGCGCCGTCACTGGTCGTCGCGGCGCCTTCCGGGGGCCCGCCTGCTGCTCTCCCCCCGTCGCCCGTCGCTCGCGACACCGCCCCTGCAGCAGCTCGCGACGCCGCCCCTGCAACAGCGCGCGAGCCGCCCCTGCGCCAGCGCCATCGCTCCTGTAGCGGCCACCCCTGGTGCAGCCGCCCCTGGACTCGCCACCCCGCCCCTGGAGCCGCCGCCCCTGGTGCGGCCGCCCCTGGACCCGCGACCCCACCCCTGGAGCAGCCGCCCATGGTGCCGCCGCCCCTGGACCTGCGCCGTCGCCCAGGGAGCAGCCGCCCCTGGTGCAGCCGCCCCTGGACCTGCGCCGCCGCCCCTGGAGCAGCCGCCCCTGGTGCAGCCGCCCCTGTACCCGCGACGCCGCCCGTGGAGCAGCCGCCCCTGGTGCAGCCGCCCCTAGAACCTCAGTCGCCGCCCCTGGAGCAACCGCACCAGCAGCAGCCGACCATGCAGCTGCCCGCGACGCCGCTCCTGGACCCTGTGCAGTCGCGCTCAGTCTCACCCGCGCCCTACCCTACCTGCTCCGCGCTGTTGCTCTGCACGCGCGGTTGCCCGCGCCCTCGTGC